AACTGATGAGTGTGTTTATTTTTTCTTTACACCATCAGAAAATTTTAATTGAGAATGTCAACTCTTTATACATATAATATTCTAAACATTAGACTTCCACAGCTGCCCATAACTGATGCCACAAGTAGTATATTAGCTAGACCAGAACATCATCAAATCTAGAGGTCTGCAACCACACTTGCAACTTAAACTTTTCAGAAAACACTCAAGTTTTGATACTGGATCCTGCAAGCAATGAACTTAGCCAGAGTTGCAAGCAGACATAAGAGATATCTTTCCAGAAGCACTGTGTGAGGAAGTCTCACTATTTCACCATTCCCATTCTGACACTGTGAGCAGTAATTTCATCTACACCATGTGGGACTGGTGTAATGAAACATGTCACATCAGAACCCCCAGGGGCAAACTCAAGAAGTGATGGAACTTGCAGGAACCCCCTCAGCACCTCTGAGGTATCTGACCTCTGCTTGAAACTGCTTCATCCACAACACATATTCCAGAGGGAACTGTCGCAGAACACATAACAATCTGTGTGACACTTCAGTAACCCCTCTCACAGTCTGCCTCTGCAAAACCACTGCAGAACAGGCAAGAAAAAAGCCCTCTCTTTTTATAAACTCTACTATAATATCATAAACATGTAATAATTACATAATACATATAACAGTAATACAATGTTTACCCAGAATTTTGTTTCCAAAATAATTCTTCTAATATTAATAAGCACTGGACCCTAGTCAGAAGCAAGGTTGACTTCGTCCTCACAGTAATGAATAGACATGGAAAGTCAGAAGTTACAGAAATTGCGCCTCTCCTCTTTGGTGATCACATGTTGCTTTACTGGATCATTCAAAATGGCTGCCCTGTCTTTCATTTTCCTCTACACCCTCTCACACACATCCTCCTACTCTTCTCCCCATTACATCACTCTCATAAGTCCTGTTCCAACAATGCTGTATCTGCTTTAAGACCAGAAATGAGAGATGACACAAATCTATTCTTAACAACCAGCAAACTTGGAGTTTGGTCTAATTCCACAAGCTCAAGTGTCTGAGGCTTCCATAACTGTGGCCATCTGCTGGTCAGGACAAATTTTCATAATGCCTTAGGAGGACCTTCCTTCTCCAATTCTCACAACTTGTTGTTCCCCACCTCTCTGATAAATGTCTGGAGGATGTTCTGGAAGGGCAGCTGATTTCCCAGAGATGTCACTTTAAACAAAACAGTAAGTGAGGTAGGGCTTTTCCTTAGGACTGTGTAGCTTTGAATAAGAGGATACCTCTGATGCACACAATTTAAGGGATAGAATCAATGCAAAGAAAAGCATGGGGACAGCTAGGATGTGGCAAAAACTCTCCAGATTTAGCTTCATTCTGCCATTCTCTTTTAGGAAAGGAGTGCTCTGCAGCAGCCATCAGTATCGTGAATGTCACCACAGCCACAACCCTGCTTCATTCTTTTGGCATTGTCGTCTCTAACATCATTCTTATGAAAAATGAATAATGAGAAATGTAGTGGTAATAAGTATTAATTTACTGGTATGAGTCACTGCCACCTACAAGAAACAGAAGAGCTGTCAGAAGACAGTTGGTAGAAGTTCACTCATGATGTATAAATGTCTATGATGGACCAAAGCCTGCTTTGAGCTCTCCATGAAGTCCACTGTTCATCACTAATCATCTGACAGACATATTTGGACTCTATGGACTTCTCCAATTGCTTCCCAGAAGGTAAGAAGGAAGGATGGGAGTATGACTTTACTGTTTCTCATGCTAAGCAACTGGAAACTGCTCCTGTGAGAGTGCTTATTTATTACTGCTCTGTGCAGTGAAAGACTGACCTAATGAAGCAATACAGAATTGCTGATGTTGGCAATTCTTGTGGTACGAACAATTTGAACTGCATTTATGAGAACAAAATATTTGTGCCCCAAAGGCTACCACACAGAGGTGCCCTGCCTGGATAGTTCTATGGTGTAATTTTTACTTGGCTTACCTCTCAAAAGCACATATAATATTTTCAGTTGAACCATTTATGGTTACAACTAAGTTTTCTTTTAAATAAAAATTAAAAAAAATAAATAAATAAATCTGTAGGCATCTCAATAGAATCGCCATTCTAATCATTGTTTTTTTTACTAGTATCTCCAAATGGTAACATATAAGAAATATCTATAATATTGATGTATTAATAAAAAATCCTATATGTGAGGCTAAAACATAAAAGTTTCCTACTCTTTTTACATCCTACAGAAATTACCAAGAAAAATTGGTGTCTTGACAAAAACCAAGTAACTAAACTGTTGGTTTTTTTTTTTTTAACAGGCTAGTATTTTTAGCATGTGAAAGAAATTTCAATGAAGACAAGTCATAGATAAAGAGTAGTATGCATCTAAAAAAATAAACAGAGATATACAATTTTTTCTATATAGGTATCTATACTTAGACTTCTATCTTCAGCATCTCAAAATGCAGATATGTAGGTTGCTCTGAAAGTAATGTCTCCTATTTATTTCCATGCAAACTAGAATAGATACGAAGAACACAAAAACATTATTTGACAGAGAGCATTTTCAGCTACAGTATGCTATTTTTTGTCACAGTTGTCACCATTAGCTATGCACTTTTGCCAGAGATGAACAAGAGCCTGCAAAATATGCTCTTAAAAATCTGCACTGTTGGAGGTGACACACTGTTACTGTTGCCACTATTGAAATGCACCACCCACTGCCTCACTGTGCTCACATCCAGTGCTCGGTCTCCAGAAACTTTCAGCAAGTGTCAATGAATATCAGTGGTTGTCATTATTTCCTCATGGAGGAATTCAATGATACACCTTTGCTCCATATGCATTTCCATGTCAGATGCCATTTTGTCAGACTTTCCCTCTGCTGCCATCTGTCACTTGGCAACAACATGGAATGAAATATTGAGAGGAAGGTTCAACCACTACTGCCATGCCACCAACATCTGCCTCTGAAGTCGTCAGACAACATAATAAAATAGGAGGCGTTACTTTCAGAGCAGCCCTCATAGTCATCTTAGTCAGGTGTCTAAATTCCATGCAGTCACTGGAGAGATAAGAGCAGTTCAGATGTAAATATCTATGATACCAATTTTTAATGACAATTGAGATCATTTCTATAGCCTAAAATTCTGAGAAGTATAATGCCTCTTCCAATATCCGTAAGTATCCGAAACTGCAGGAGCAAGACATTTAGTTGTTAATATTTCCAACAGCCCTCACCAACTCCATCCAACTGTCCAACTATCCAGATATCTATCTCACAAAAATAGAAAGCTCAAAAAGAAGAAATAAAGCCTCCAAGTTTACTTAGGGTGTTAAGACTCCAGACGTGAAGGACCAAACTGGTCGTCCCCCGAAACAAACAACAGTTAATTAAAATTTTGTAATGACTGCCTTATTTCTAAGTTTTTATCCCTATGGTGAATGTTAAATGAATAGTGAAAATCAAGCACCTGGGGCTAGAAGCCCTGAAGTCAATGTGTTACATAGAGATCTCTGCACGTAGCTGTAACCTGTTACATTATGTGGTAGATGCAGAGATGAGGAAAATCCTAAAAACTAACCAGTTTAGCCAGTTGTGTATTCAGAGCAATCGGTGCTGATCTTTTTCCTAAAATTAAACACTTGTACATCTTTTGCTGAAATTGAAAACAACAGGGTCAGAGACTCTGTACCACTTGATACCTAAGGGAATGCTCAAGGGTAAATTTATTCTCCTTCAAATATATTCTAAACGCAAGATGTAGTTGCACCTGAATTTTGTGAGATATGTACATAGGTATCTCAAAAGCATATAGTAATTCAGAAGTACATAGGTACACTGACAACCAGTTGCATTGAGTACCATGTAAGATTCATATGAAGGAACACTATCATCCTGGTCTAAAGTAGGGCAGAAGCATGATCTAGTTGCTGTGCTGATCAGCTCAGGAGTTACTTCAAAACAATACAGGCTTGTAATACATAAAAGAAAAGTATTTAGATAATTTAGATGACGCCTAACTAAATTAAGAGGTTAACAAAAGAAAAATGACCATAAATGCTTGACATCATCCGAAGATGATTTTGGGTTTTGACTATGTCAAAAAATTCCGTTAAATCATTAAAATTGCAAAAAGGAGAAAATCTGCCTTTTGCTACAAGGATTTTGATACATAATTTTCACCTTTTTCCAGGAACATGATTGCACTATTATTTTAAAGACCTTTCTAAAATTGTATGTTACCCTTTCATGTAACACTACGTATTGATTTTTTAAGCAATAGGTTAGTATTCAAGAAACTTGATTCATATTAATTTAATTCTAACCAACTTGATTATTCATGGGTAAGTTCATGGGTAAGTATATAACAGCTTATTGGATACAATTTTTTATTTTTTATTTTTTAAACCATGTTGATTTAAATAGTAGCTTTTGTGCAAGAGTCAAGCTTTGCAGATATGCCCTTAAAAATATTGGTAGCAAAGATGTTTGTGTCCAAGTAAACAATTTATATTCTCAGACCAGGCTACATCTTTTAAAATTCCAGCAGAAATCAGTAGCCAACTTGCACATACCATTACACTTCAAATTTCCTTGTAAATGACTGTGAAAGTATCCAGAAATTTAAATATATTTTCTGTTAGGCTAGTTGATGTGGGAAGACTTTCATGAGACATTTTCTCTCTTATCATCAGTTCAATGATGTAAACAGTGGCTGATTAAAGCCTGCACTCCTTTCAGGTTGATATACCTGTCTGAAAAAAAATATATATCTCACAGCTGGAATTCTTCCTGAAAACTAAAATAAATGACAAAGTAAAAGACTGATGTTCTATAGATACTTAATGAAGACAGGCTTCAAGGGTTTTCTATGGCAGACATTATAGTACACCCCAGGACGAGACAAAAAGAGCATATTTCTGAAGCTGAAGATTGCAATCACAGCAGAATAAAGAAAATAACAGAACACATAACTTGTTAAATAACTTACACTGGTTTTCCTTTGGATTCACAAGTCAAAATTATAGATTGTCCTTCTTCAGGCCACGAATTAGAAGAAATGATTTTAACTAAAGGTGTATCTAGAAAGAAAAGAAAACAGACATCTTATTGATATACATGAGAAAAAAGATTATCCATGAGTACATTATTTTCTGCTTACTAAAGACTACATCCTAGAATTAATTTAGGCTTGTATATGCTTTTATTTGAACACTTGCACAGTTTTCATTGTCCTCAGGAAGGCAACAAAATTGACCAATGTAAGCAAAATTGACCAACTGTAAATTTTTATATTCCAAGGAAACACAGATAGAAAGCTTGTTTTTGCTCCAAAGAAACAACTTATTTTTTTTCTTTCTACATTCAGTGCAATTGCTCCCTAGGAGTATTCCAAAGTGTAATATCTAACAGTGAATAGCAAATACTCTGGGCAATTGTTTCTTTGTCTATTTCTAGGTAGATATGATGGAATGCTGCTATTAAGGGTATGATACAATAATATACATTTTAATAAGAACAGTTTTACTTTTGCAAAAGCTTGAAACCATAATAAGAAAGCTACAATGGGCTTCCAGACAAAATACTTTGTTTGGGCATTTTACAGGATATTATTTCTAAATTGCAATAATGTTGTCCCTAAAACAGAACTTCTGTTTTTTTGACATTTGACTTTTTTTTTTTTTTTTTTTTTTTTTTCCAAAAAGAATGTTTCAAATACCAATGAAAAGCTCTACAGAAAAATTTTCAATCTGTCCAAAAATCTTATAAGTATTACTTCCATGTAATGGAATTAATTTATAGTTGTGACTTCAAAACAATATACAATAAAAAACTGTGAATTAAACCTGAATAAAATATTTGTAGTAAATCTTTAACTTGTAAAACAGTTTGCCATCTGGTTTGCAAGGATACACCCTCACAAAGAAAATATTTTATATGAATTAAAGGGGACCTATTTTAAGGAGAAGCAAGGCCATATAGAAATAAACATTTACATACATAGTATTTTTTCCTTAAGAAAAGGAAAAAAGAGATCAAAATAATAGTAAGGAAATCTTTCATACTCAAAAGGAAAATACAGCCCTTTGTTTCCTGTATAGTTTCCTCTATGCTACCAAAAAAAAAAAACCCACAAAAAAAAAAAAAAAAAAAAAAAAAAAAAAAAAAGTATTTACACTGAAAATCTAGGTTTATCCAACTTTTATTTTATTCAGTTTGCAATTCCTATTGTTTTAGTAGTGGGGTAGCAGGGAGAAGACAAATAACTTGTTATCAAGAAAATATGAAAGGCAAGATAGCATGACACTACAAAATCAAACAAAATGTGATATGCTGTTACAGTATTATTTCTTATTGTGATGCTAACAGTTCTATTAAATACTAAATGGTATAAACAAAATGGCAAAAACTTTTTCTATCTTTGGTTTTCATTTTTGACATATCACAGTGTATCACTATGGTACAAGACAAGAAAAGGGGCTTAGTGTACACTTGTCATAATTCCACTGAAAGCACTGTCAACATCGTTTAGATTTCAGCTGCTCCAACCTTACACCAGAAACAAATCTTTTTCAAAAGTTTGGCTTTGTTATGAACCCTGGAAACCATTTTGCAGGTTACTAATCCTGCACAGGTCACCCAGGCATTTGCTTCACTTTTAGTTCATGCTTATGGCATTGATCTCAAGTGCCTAAATAAATTAGGGCATCAAGTACTTCTGCAATTTTAGTGGTGTTGTAGGAGATTAATGTATTACCCTCTTCACTATGCACTGGACCAGAGGAACAAATTATTATCAGATAGCAATACGTGAAGACTTTAACTGAAGTACTGAGACAACTAATGCAATGAGATCAAGACACTTCCAAAAAAACCTGAAAGGGAACTAAACATTTATGGAAGTAATCATGATTGCTGCAAGTGAAAAAAGAAATTGAAGGTTCAGCTAGTTAGCATTACTGGTTTATATTGAAAAGATGATCAGCATTTCACACATTAATGTAAATGACCCAGAGAGGGGATTTCAAACAATTAAACTTATATTTGCATGGATCAGTGCTGTGCTGTTTTTCCTTCCTCAAAGTTTCCATTCCTGATTTATTCAGTGCTCCAGATAGTGCTCTGTTCTTCATGTGCCTGTAAAGAGAACTTACTAACAGGACAAGAAAGGTCTTATGTTTCTAATGAAATGTAAGATAATATGGGAAATAATACGCTTTTGTGCTTTCCCTGCTTATTGTACACTAATTGATTGTTCCTTTAAAACAGGAAACACAGCAATTAATCCAATACATAGTTTTTAGGAAAGCTTACACTTCACAACTTCTGTATATTATTATCAGTCCTCTAAAAAAAAAAAAAAAATTGATATTCTATTTTCATACAATCATAGAGTCATAGAAGGCCTGGGCTGAAAAGGATCTCAAAGATCATCTAGTTTCAATCCCCTCCTATGTGCAAGGTCACCAGCCAGAAGACCAGACTGCCCAGAGCCACATCCAGCTTATTTTGATTGTTTCTTTCTGAGCGTTAGTCTTCCCAGTTACATTTTTATGCTTTCCTCGATTTCTCTGCAGAATTAAAGAATGCACTTACAAGGAGAAAACTTTTAAGACCAAGTCAAAAACTTCCTCAAAACTAACCTAAAAATGCTATTTTAACAAATATAAAGATTGCCTGCAAATTGGGGTATTTCCAGAACATAAAATGCTCTGTTTTAAAATATTTCCTCCAGTTAGGACCACTTGTTTTAGAATCATTTGATGCCTGAATGTACTTTATCAATACAACAGGCTTTAACTGTTTCACCCATAACTGTTAATCATAGCAATATGAATATTACCTAACCTTCAGAAAATACTTCTACCACCAGGAAGCAAAGTCCAAAATAAATAAATGAAAACGGTAAGAAAGACAAACCGTAATGTAATGCAAGATGAAGGCTTATTTTCAGATATGCTTGTCAGGTTTTTATTTGTAGGTACGTTTAAAAAAAACCCAACACATTATCTCCTTTTGCACTTGAATAATTGAAGGAGGTTCAAGGGTTATACTGTGGGTCAGATCTTCCACTGCTTCTCCACTAAGTCAGTAGAAGCATCCCAATTTATTCATTCAAACCTTAGAAAAAACTAATAATTTGCATCTTTTCAGGATCTGGCCCAGTAAGTTATTATAAATAAAATACTTAAAATACTGTAGACTGGTATTTAAAACAGAATTCTAGGAATTATGACTAAAACTTCTTACCAGTACCCATAAATATGGATTTATTCTGAGCTCTAAGGACATTATGGAGGAGAAAAATATTCCAAAAAGACTAAAAAAAACCCCACTCTAAGAAAAAATGCATTTTGTGTGAGTGTAGATCACAAAGCAAGCCTTAAGTGTAAAAGAACTTGTTTCAATTCTCAGTGACCCATTTATTCACACGTAACTCCAACAGTGTGAAAGCTGTTTGGCCCAAATCAAGCCTTCCTGATTTTGAATAATGAGGTACTTATGAGCTGCAATTGATAGCACCAGTGTGAACTGAGACTCAAACATATCTTTAGACATATGGCAAGATATCTTCTACCTCGTATGTGCCAAGAATCTGCCCTTTTGCTAGAAATTAGAGTATAACACTGATTATCTATAAAACTAAGAGATGTAATTTTTAGATGCAGCCTTTCTTCTTTCAGACTAAAGGCAAAAGTTTCACTGAGTGATTCTATTTCTTTTTTTTTTTTTTTTTTTCCAGGATCCGAGCACATCTCTCTGCACAAAACCAGAGAAGCCATTTCAAAGCTTTGAGACTTGTCTATTTTTTAATCAAGCAATATAATCTTTATTCACTCACATACAAAATTAGTGAATGCATTTGGAAAACTGATTTCAGTTATTCAGGTAATTAATGTTATCTGATATATAAAGAAATTAAATGCTTTAGCACAAAATTTTTGTTTTCCTCTTAGCAGCAATTAATGGCAAGTTAATATCTTACAGAACTGTTTTAATGATTAATGTAATTTCATTGAAAATTTTTCTAAATAAAAGTGGTCCTTATCACTCACCAGACCTTTGCAGTTAATCAGATCTCCAATGTTTAAATGTTTTATTTGGGCTTTTTTGTTCAAAATGCACTTGACGTTTTTGCATTGCTTGAAGTAAGAAAAGTTAATTCGCTAAAGCTGTTATAAAGTTGCAAGCAGGTTTAAATATTTCTATACAAATTATTTCATATAAAGTTTTTCATATATGATCACATACAAGCCACTTGAATATTCCTGTCTGATAAATTAAAGCCTCTGTGTAAGTCCTTGACAATCACAGGGTAAATGCAGAAACTGAATGCATAAAAGAAAGTAAATTTGTTTAAGATCATAAGGCAGGTCAACAAGTGAATAGGAAAATGAATCCTTACTAGTTTATTTTTGCTCCCAAGATCATTAGAAATAATTCAGCCTGGTTTTGCTATGTAACTTCAGAAGTCCTTGGTTCCTCTGTCCTTAACAAGCTGGACTATCAGAGCTTATGTGGATACTTTTTTTCATGAAACTTCCAGTTACTGAGTGAGTAACTACTATGCTGCATGATCTCTATTCATCCTTAGGCATTAATCAGCAAAAGGTGTGTGGAAATGACCGGATTTCAGAAGAAAAATTGTTTTGTAAATAGGCAACATGATAATAATATGGTAACTATGCTATGACATCAAACAGTCTCTCCCTGCTGCAACGATCTTCAGTTAATGAAATTATAATCTTAGAAAAGAGCACTTCTTTTCTTGCCTAATGTTACAATGTGAGAAATACATAGATTTTGATGCTTTGAGGCCTTTAACAAATGACTATTGAAAGGTAAATTCAGGACTAGAAAATTTAGTGATCTCCTCCTGGTCATCAGAATTAAAATAATGTTAGAAATACACTGACTCAAGATGCATGCATCATGGTGTTTACTAGAGAACATTGGGATATATATGTTTTATTGTAATATAAGCAATACTTGCCGCTACAGTTCACTACACATTTTGTTAAGAGGCAAATCACACTGCTTAAAGCTTAGCTTTCCCTGTGCTTCCAGTGAGAGGAGGGTC